GTTGAAAGTTGCGGACAAGCTGCTGCGGACACACACACACACACACACACACACACACACAAACACTCACAGACAACCCCCTAACAATATGCGTTTTGTACTGCTGTTACACAGCACAAAACGCATAAAAACGACAATCTTCAATGACAACTTGAGACGCCTGAGCCTTGCCACATACTTCCGGCGGGAGATTCAGCGAGCTAGTAAATCTTTAGGAGTCGAGTCGGGTGCAAGGATCGATGGCAGATTGACCGCCAAGCGAAGCAGCATTGACAAATCGACAGGAAAAGTTGTAGGTGAATTGTAGTTTATGAACTCTAGCAGCACATGAACTGCAGTTGGTGCAAGGTAAGTATTACCGCAACATGGATTCTGGCGTTGCGAACAAAATATCAGCAACAAGACAGCGCTCCAGAAATTTCATATTGCCGGGATGAAGTGGCTTCTGCAGATTACTGATATTTTCCGGGCAAGTCATCCACTGTGATATGCCGCCACTCACTAAGAGGAATTGAGCTAAAACAGATTTTAGTTAAAATACCAAATTTTTTAGGTTATATTTCAGCTTTATTTCTTCCTTTTCATCTCGGACTTTCATTACAGTTCACTTAAAATGCAAAAATTTTGACTCATTTCCAACAGAAATTTTAAATTTTTCACATAAAAAACTAGCATCGGTATATAAAAAATTAAATGACAAGGCCTTAATTATTTTTACTTCAGATCCTTTGTGCAGTTTCAACAAATGGGTCGGAACAAACATGAAGGAAGTCTTTTTAAAGAGGAGCAAAAATTATGCTTAAAAACTTTGATAGATCGTTTTGATAATATATTGGGTTAATAAATCCCTCTTAATTCCTCTAACTTTTGCTATGAAAACTTCGGATTTAATAATTTTATCCAGAGAGGGAAAACTTCTTTACTGATTTCTGCGCATATTTTAAGAAATCTGACCTGAAAATTGCTTTTCGAATAAAGGATTTTTGTGTATGTCCTTTGTGGGTTTTTCAAAAAAAAATAGAAAAATTGCTTTAATTTTTAAATACTGTTTTAAGAAATTTTAATTTTTGCAATTTTATTTGAGTTTTTCAGCTTTTAAAACTATTCAAGGCAAAAATTCTAGGTAATAAAAAATGATGAACCACAACAAATATGTAATATCCGTTAAGAATTTACAAGCTACTGTTCGTTCAAAGAGATTTGTTTTTATTTGTCCTGAAAAAACCGATATTTTGACGTTGCTGAAAGAATTGCTGTGTCAGAGCTAAGGCTTAGGCATTTTTAATCCAAGAACTAATTCAAAAAACATTTGCTCGCTGTCACAATGAGCCTTCCCGAGATGGGCAAATTGGAGCGCGGGAGAATTTCTTAGCTTACTTTTTATAATAGCTGCCAGTGGCAGATAACTGAATACACGCTGAAATTCATTGTACATATTCAATTTTCCTTTCCCGAACATTTCGCACTAAAAAAATTAAATCAGTTTTGTGTCTTTAACAAAAAAAAAAACTCAAGATGACCAGCAGGCTGACCATGAAACGATACAGTACTGGTCAGTAGTGCTGGAAAAGTTATCAGCAGTGTAAAGAACTGCCGGCGATAGTCTCCAACAATTTTTTTGTAAATTTCTTTTGCTTTATTTTCCAATTTTTTTTTTTTT